CCGTCCCCGCCGCCGCGCGCGGCAGCGCGGGGAGCCCCGGCGCCCGGGGGAGCCCGGGCCGCTGTGCCGGGGGGCGTCTAAGGAAGCTGTAAAATTGTGCCAGTGAGAGACTCAGGGTAGAGGAATAGATCGGGGAACGAAATACACTTTAAAAAGGTCATGAAGAGGCAGCTTCACCCACGTCTACCTGGGCAGCCTGTCGGGGGGCTGCACTGTCCCCCGCGAGCGCTCACAGACCCCCTCGCGCTTCAGCCACGCGAGTCCCTCACCCACGTAGCACACACTGAAGAAACAGGGTACACTCCGAGCTTCAGTATTCCCTCAATTTCACCTATAGCTATTCTGCTTGAGCTCCAGTGATTAAACTAGGCACAGAGATGGGTCATAGACAGTCGTGCAGATAGCAACACCGCGGTTGTGGGAAGCCCATTACCTGCTGGACTGAGTCACTGCCAACAGCAGCTGTGACTGTGTCAAAGAGCCTCACCTGACATACTTTTGAACTGGTTTAATTAAGTGCCCAGTACATAGCCTTTCATTTTACAGTAGTAGGTTTTTTTTTTTTTTCAGCATAATAGTAATAAGTTGGGTTAATTTTTTTTTCATTATAACATATCGAGTGTGTTACTAAAGCAAGATCCAGTTAACAGTAAAGTACGAGGCTAAGTGGATTTTCCCTGTGTACACTGTCATTCCCATGACCACATTACAGTTTCTCCAGAGGACATCAAACAGCAAATACAACTGGGGATGCTCCAGTTCAAAGCACAAAGATGACATGGAGCTCTCAGACATTTGAGCATACCAGTTCATTAGGCTCAGATGTATCTAGATCAACACTGTTTTTTGATTTCTTTTTTGTGAGCTTTGCTCCAGGTTTCAGGTATTTTTCCTTGCTGTGAATGACCTGGATGTATTGGTCATTGCCGCTGTTCTGCGGATCGCTGCTAGATTCAATGGACATGGAATCAGATTCTGTCGGAGATTGTTCTAGTTTATGCTTTGACTTAGGTTTCACACGTTGCTCAGGATAGTGCTGGTCAACTTCAACATTTTTCAGGTGTACTTTTTTGTAAGCGTATGGGGGCCTATCCACATCTAGCTCAAAGCCATCATCCCAGGATTTGTAATGCACCTTGGCTATATCCTTGCCCATAAGAACGTGGCCATCAGCATGTTCCCCAATGTAAAAGCGGGGTGCTGGGCGAAGATCAGACAGTGAGCGGGGACGATGGCTTCTGCTCACTAAGTCTCTCCTCAAATCCTCTTCATCATCCTCCTCCTCACTGGGATGGGGGGAATACATCTGGTGTGGTGTCCGAACCACGTATCTTCTGACATTGCGCGGATACAACTCAATAATATCTCCCGCCTCATCCATTCGGAAGCGCCTTGGGAGTCGGGAGGTAGAACGGAGCAGCTTTTTGCGGGACTCGTGTTCATTAACAAGAAAATATCTGGTAGCATATGGCCTACGTCCCACAAAAACAGGAGCTCCTGCCCCAAGAGCATCTGGATTTACCTGTCGAATGCCCTTTCTGAAGAGAGGCTCAGAGTGAACATCTTCAACGTGCTTTTTGAAAGTGACTGGTGTGTAGGGCTTTGTTTTGCAAAGCTCACCTGCACTCCCATGCACAATGCTTGTGTACCTTTAGGAAGCAAAACAAAAAGGAAATAGAGAAAGACTTATTTATCAGTATAATTAAAACAGATAACATTTATTGCTCTGGAAGTCAAACACTACACTGTGAGAGTGGGGACTGCAGAATCTGTTTTTCAGACTTGTTAGGAAGAGTTAGCGAAATATATGCTAGAAATTAGCAGAAACATTTCTTTCTGGGAAATGGCAACAGATTACTCACCTCTCAAGGTACATTCCAAATCTGTTTTCCTGTGATAAGAACTGTGCAAAAATGCTCTTAATTTGTCACTAAAAATAGGCAGCTGTCTGAACCAACCTACCAAAAACATGTCACCTAGACCTTCAAAGAAACTCTGCACATATTTCTGTGTGTGGAATCCCCACAAAAGGAGCTTAATATTTGCCTTTGATTTGAAACGTGAGTGAACTCCACCTTCCAAAGTCTTATAAGGCACTCTGGCAATTGAATTAAGGGAGAAATGAGATGTTGCTGTTACCAGCAACCTAAGTTCACTGGTAAGTGAATCTGCTTTTAAAAATTTCCTCAGCTCTTGTGCTGCAGAGAGAGTCTGAAGGTACAGCTACTCTGTGAATGAATATAAGTACTTCATACAGCCACTACAGTAAATGGCATTTTAACATCAAGAGCCTTGCCTGTTTGTGATGTGGTCACTTCTTGGCTTCTGTACACTCGGCACTGAGGGAGCGGGTGTTAAAGAGGTTGGAGTAGTCGGAGTTGCATTGATAGGCCTTGCTGCATCAGCTGAGGGCACAGTTTGGGCAACAGACTGGGAAATGGTTTGTATTCTCGTGCCTTTGCTCACGGGAGATTCGAAGTTCAAGACACTGCCATTTTTTCGGGGAGTTGACGACCGAACTGAAGACTCTTGACTAATAATATCACTTTCTTGCTCTGGTCTCTTGTCATTCCCATCCATGCTCTGCATTCTGGCTAGAAAACAGGAATTATTACAGGAATAACTCCAGGGCTCAAAGTTTAAAAGCTGCTGTGTAAATGCAGTGGCTCAAATTCATCCTTCAGCCAAGGGAGCCAATGCTGACAGACCCCAGGCAAGAGCTCAGCAAGGAGAAGCACTTGTGTCGTACTGGGAGATGCAGTGATAAAGGGACGGACTGGCAGACTGCAGTACATAGACAGAAGGTCCTCATAACACCAGGGTATATAGTGAAAACACTAAAAATGGCACTGTTGGTGTCCCAGATGAGCAAGAAGCAAATATATCTCTTCAAAGAAAAAAAATACCTTATATTAGATACAATTACTGATATGAAGAGGGCCAAAATCAGGAAACTGACTCCAGCAACAGAAAGACTGGTCACAGCCAACAGCTTAGTTTGGTTTCTTTTAGAAGGAAAACCCAGCTAAGAGACTATCTCATTGTCTTTAGTTGTTTCTCCTGATTCATAAGTAGGTTGCTATGCATCAATTATTTCAACATTTATCTCTCTGCTGGGTTAAGCTTTTTCGTAAGGGTGTCAGCAACATTAAGGTCAAGCTATTATGTTACTGAATCGTGGCTTGTTAGCTTTTTTGGGCTAGCAATTTTTCACTTCTTTTTAGCTCTTGTTTACTTTACTTGTTAATCCCTGCCCTTCAGTGGAAAGGATTAAAAAGAATGCCTCCTCTCCCCACCTTTGCCTGGGGTATCGCATTGCTAAAACCTGAGATGTGCAAGGCAGGGTTTCACACCCCCTTGGGCACAGTAGACAGCTGAGTGAAAAATTTTCACTGCACAGGACGTGTTCAGCCCACTCAGGTCAAGGAATAAGAGCCATTCCCCCTCTCGTCTTCTGCCTACTATGTATTCTACACAAGGTCTGATGTGATCCGAATCATCAGAGAATGCTTACTAATTCCTTCCTGTTAGGTGAAAACAAGCAGGAAAATACTAACCCTGGCTCCAAATGGAGTTTAGCTATAAACTACACACCTTGCATTTAGTTTACACCTAAACACTGTCAAGGTTAAGTCAAGATGACCTCAAAAAACATCTAAAAGGAGGACTCTAAAGGAAATAAAGATTTTAAAATAGAGTAGAACTTATCTATGTGCAAGATATCAAAATGATTTTATGTCTCAATGCTTTATCAATAGCGGTATTTCTAAAGCTCACCAACTTACCTACTGCCATTTGAACCACCTTTTTCTTATCTTCAGTTCTTTCCTAAAACACAGACACAGACATGAGAATAAAAAACACTAGATTACTATAGATTAGAAAGTAAGCCCACTAACCTGAAAGCATAAGAAGTACCAAACTGATTTTGTATTGTGAAACACAAAGTGACTTCAGAGATTTGATTAAGGATAATACATTTGTGAAGACCCACCAAACCATACAAAACACACAACACCACTGTACTTACTGTTTGTATCTTCATTCTCAGTTGATTGTTGGTGAATTTCAATGATCTTGCAATACTTTGTAGGTAGTAAATTAGCATGCTAGAATTAAAAAATAGGGCAGAATATAAGTTACCTCAAACATTCTTTAAATTTTCTCTTGGAGGGCCTAGACATCCACAAAATCGTACAAAGGCTTGGTTGCTTTCTAGCATTTCCTTTGTATTATAATTGCAGCCCTTTCACATGAAAGTACACACGGAAGTTTAAAAAAAAGTAAGTGACAATGCAAACTTATTTAACGGCAGTTCCAACTGTAGCTTTTTCTCTCTTTTTCTTTGCAGGTCTTCTCATTATGTTGGTAACCCTGCCTATTCCCAGCTTGCTTTTTTTTGTTTGTTTGTTTAAATTCTGGTAGCAAGGAAAACAAACAAACAATATTTTAATATATTTTCTTTCTTCCAATCCAAGGTTACTGAACAGAGATAGTAAAACTAGTGCTGAGTTTGCATATTCATATCAGCGTCACTTTGTTGACTTGGTTGGAGTAACATCTTATTCACAGTGGCATAGTTGAGATTAGATCTGGCCTGACATAATGCATTACACTGGCTTTCAGACTGAGTAAGAAGTTTCGTGAGCTCTAGCTCATGTGTGATACCAAAAATATTTACATATGTGCTTAGCCCTCATTTTGAGGAGATCAACAGATCTACTTGAATGTGTAAATACGTGTTTTTACATGGCTGTGACTTCAGAGGAAAAGTTACAAATAGGAAGCACTACTTGAGTCTGATTCGTTTAAAAAAAGGCTGTGGGGGCATATTCTGCATGGAGAGAAATTATACAAAGGTACATGTAAAAGAGATGATACTTCATAGAAACAAAGTGAATTTCAAATAGCTCAAAAGTAAATATTAATTAGCAGCCGTGAACAATTATTTAGAGACAGGAGTAAGCAAGCACTTTCACTGGAAAGTCTGCAGGAAGCTGTATTACATTAACACTTAAGAACAGACCTTCCTAATTGGTTTATCTGGTCAGGAATCAGGATGACTGGGTAGCCTCTTTAAATGATAAATTGAACCAGTAAACAGTCCTAAAGGAAACTAATGACCAAGACGAAATGGAAAATAAGTTTCTGAGTTGCTCCTGAGAAGGAAAAGGGAGCTTATAACTTTGTGGAACCAAGAGTACTGGGAGAACTGTTACAATAAAAAGTTTCCTTTAACACAGTATCCCAGAAAGAGAAATTACTTTTGAAAATGTGGGGGTCTCATTCCCATGTGATCCCCACAGCACATATGCCTAGCAAAATCACAAAAATACAGTTCTTGTTCCTTAGTATTTGCATTTGACTCTTTAGAGAGAAGCCCATGATTAATTCAATGAGGTTGACTTTTCTATGAAAATCATAGTACTTACAATAGAAGTAGCAGTGCAGGGAGGACAACCACAGGACTGCTGATATATGTAATCACTGTGTTGAACCATGCAGGAAAATCGTTTTGAATTGTTTCTGAAACAATATCATATATTTTTTCTTGTCCCCTACAAGAGAAGGAAAAATGATAATTAAAATAAGTTATAGCAAATCCTTGAAGATCAAATTTACAAGCAAAATTGCACTGAATAAACAAGAATTTTCATCCAAGACTACTTTGGAACAGTATAGCCAAAAGGAAAAAAAAATACATTAAGCTACTTGTTTCATTATTTACTTTTTAATAAGTTTTCGAAAGCACAAAAACATTTGACTTGGCAGTGCTTGAGCTGAAACACTCATGTTCCCAAGACAATGTGTGTTGATTGCTTAGAGGCACGTTACATTACGTAAACATAAAATAATTGAACACTGTATATAATCCAAAAGGTCTAGCCTCACTCAGGACTTTCACACATTCAATTAATTAATTCTTGAATTAACAAACAAAAGCAGTATCTCTTCTATAAACTTTTATTTACTAGCAATTTGGGTATTATTGAATTTGATGGATTTATTGAGGGAGAAATAACATCTCTGCAGTTTTCATTTGTCCATAACAACTTACCTGAAGGGACCACAGCTTAAAGATGGCTTATATCGAGCGATAGCAAAAATTGTTGGTAACATGCATAAGAACAACATGAACAGCAACATGGCCAAGTAGAAATTATTGGATCTGCAGGAAGAGACAGCATTTTTCAGATTACACTAATCAGAGAAAAAAACAGAGGAAACATGAAGGCTAAGTCTGTGTCTTCCTAACAAGTTCAAGATCTATGTTTTTGAAAGATCAAAATCATTCTGTTATGGTTAGGAAGTCTGCACAGAGCCACTACGAACAGACTCTTAATGATCCAAATTCTATTTGCACTGCTTCCAGATGTCACTGCCTGAGCCAGAAAACTATTTATAGGACCAGTCTAATTTATCACCCAATTCTACTGGCAAGGGGAAAAAGGTGGCAAAACTTGATTCATCTTCAAAACATGTTAAAAACCTATTCAGCACCAAAACTGTGGCCATAAAACATCCTTCAGATGGTACTGGTTCATTTCCTCGGAGGAGTGAGGCAATTCCTAATGAGTCCTTCTACTCTGGATGCTGTCCAGAAAAATCCATACCTTGACATTTTGTAGTGAATGCCTACCAAGTTTTACAGTAGTCACAACCAGTCTCAGGCAATTCAGTTCCTTTGTGTTACTTGTGCATATCCTTTAAACCACCCTGGTTTATATCTCTACAAACCTCGAGTTCCTCAGTTCTTCCCCCCCCCTTTTTTTTTTTTTTCCTCATGTACTTTATTTGGCAGTATTACTGCCAAATTTGCATCTCCATTTTCAACCCTATGATCTCCTCTGATTTTGTTTCTATACACAGAAGACATTTCTAGGATGCATTTGATTTGCCCTTTAGTTGGACTAACCGGGACGCTCTGAAAACCTGCTGATGCGGCACATTGCACGTTAATACAGCCCAGCTCCGCAGGTACATGAGTCCGATCAATTTGAGAACATTGAATGCAGGTAAGCAAGGTGAAAAGAAGGCTCCCATCCTAGAAAAACAGTGTCATTTCAGTGCTTAGTATTGCCAGAAGCAATTTTAGCAGCAAAACATATACCAAGCAGTTAATCCACGGCTCATCACTTTATCAACAATCTCTTAATACTACAGTACTAATAGCCTATTTGAATAGGTGGGAATTACCACGTTGACTTGGTAATCAACCAACAAAAGGACAAGAAAAATTGCTTATAGATGGCATACCAGATCATTCCTTGGTTGTAGACCAAATGAAGTACATTCTCTGCAATTTTGAATTCTCCATATTCTGGCTACAAGAAATACAGTATAGGTGGAGTTATTTTTTTTTTCCAGATCATGTATTAGAAACATTTGACTGAATCAGTTTGCAGAACAGCATGTAGCCTGAAATCACCAGAGTAAATGCTAGCCGTGGGCAGGCAGTGAGAACACAGTAAACTTAATCTGTTGCCTATAATTAAAAAAACAAACAAACAAAAAACCCGAATTCCTTTTCAATTTACTTCACTGTTCAATTAAAGGCAAAGAGAACAGAGCTCAAACTTTCATGCCAACAGCTGCTTGCTAACCAAGTATGAACATGATTTTTTTTAAAAGGCTTTCTGCCTTTTTGGAGCAATACATATTTATTATTCTACATGATAGACAGTTGTTGATAGGATGTGGTCCTTTTTTCCATGCTCCCTATTTTTAAAGGCCCACAAATTACTCGTCTTTCATCGAGACATGTTCTCATTTTGGAAAAGGTTTTACACCATGGCTATAGGAGTACCTTTGGGAAAAACATCTGAACATTTACCCTGTATCCTCCAGATTATACCTGGTTTACACAGCACGAACTGTGCCTTTATAGATACTTGATACCAAGAAACTGTTAAAGTGACAAAAGGCTTTAAAAATACTCCGTACTAAGGAAATAAGTCTACGCAGTCTCATCAGCTTAGTTTGTTAAAATTAAAGCACACATAAAGCATAAATTAAAGCATACTTACAAATTTGCTTTCTAGATCCCAACACCAACAATCGCTTAAATACCGGACAAAGAGTCCACGGAAAAAATCTATTAGCAAGATGCTCGCAACTGTGAAAATCATGTCGATAATTGACAGCTTCAGCATTTCCTGAAATACAGATTGTTCCAACATCTTGAGTCATTCTCAAAACAAGAGGACATGCATACTGGTCCATATAATCTATTTTGCATTGTGTATTTTAGCTGAAGCTTAGTATTCTGATGGAATGGTGATTTAAATATATAAATACATTTTCTTTTAGCTTTTCCCAATGAGAGATTGTTTAATTTACTTGCCTTTATTCTAGCAAAGAGAAAAAATGTAATCCAATCGATGCTCCTCTACTGCTTGCAGCAGTAAAACTCTGGTCTTAACAGTTTCAAGCTTTCTTATAAACTGTCTTTCTTAAAATGTATGTAGGTAAAAAATGATGTGTTCTGTATGTTCTGTTGTACCCAAATCCCTTATTGGACTGGCTCTTGTAATGCACACTTGCCACGTGTTTCATGCTGAGAAATGGTTACTCCTCATATGAAACCAGAACTCAGTGACAGTGTGATCACTAAGCCATAGGAGATCTGCATAGTGCTAAAGATTTCCAAGTGATTTAAGTCATGCTATATTTAACAGCTTTAAAAACATACAATTAAGTCAAAATCATATTTCCACACATCTCCAACCAATCTTGGGGTAGGGGGGAAAAAAAGGAGAAAAAAAAAAAAAAGAAAGAAAAAGCCCAGTTATAAAAAAACTTCCTGGCTCCCTAAGCATGATGTTGATGTTCTTTACCCCAAAGACCAAGTGAGTTTCAGTGAGTGATGTCTGTGAACAGGGAGAGGGGCATACAAGAATTGCAATCAGACCAATAAATGTAGGAGGGAACTTTTATCCCAGATGATCAAAGAGTCTGCAGAACAAGACTCTCTTTAAATTATTTTTCCCCCTCCACTCCAGAAGAAGGAGCTATGCAAGCAGAGACATACTGACATCATTAATAGCTAATGTCTAGGTCACCAGAACAGTACTGACAGTTGGAGACCAAAGCGCATTGGGATCAAATGACATCAGTTATGTTTTGTGTGGGTAAAAATTCTCCATGTATGTCTTAATGTCATTGCTAACCACCCAAAGTAAAGGCATATGCCCACATGGCACTAAATCCAACTGGCTCCATTCCTGTGGATTAACAGTAGCTGGAAACCTTCTGTTGCCCCTTGTTGTCTGAAGATGAAGAATTAATTCTCCTCTGTTTTACGAAGGCAAAATGAACAGAGAATGCAAAGATGGAGCACAGTGACCAAGTGCATTTCTTGGTGCATTCACCAAATGAATGGATAACATTCACTTCAATCCAAATTTGAATCTGCACAGGACTGAATTTTAAAAAGGTATTAATAGGATGCTTGTTTGTACATGCTTACATATTTTTACAGTCATGTTTCTATGCGCAAGGGTATATTTTATTAAAAATGAGACCTGTATCTATATCCTGCATCTGTAGAAATCTGCCTGTGCAGAGCTGAAGACAGATACCAAAGCTTGGGGAAAGAATATTTGTACAATAGTGAAGGCATTACAGATACTCTACAAAAAGAAAACCCATATTTGTGACTATATCGCTTGGCAAAATCAGCTAGAAGCATGTAATTTGCAGAGAGATAACTTCTGTTTTAGAATTCTGCACATGATTTTAATTTATGGTCAAATGTGGATTAGGAATAAGTCAATAAGACAATCAAACAGTAACGTACTTGACCAACATATGTCTCCCAGCACTGATCCTGTGGATTCGGATTATTATAGTCAAAAGAAATTGTTTTGTTAACCGAGTCAGAACCTGTCAAGTTTTGGGTGCGTCTGTCTTCCAGTGTTACACTGCTGTTTCCCTTAATTTGTACACCAGGAATAGTTGTAGATAAGTTGTCTTTGTCAGGAAGAGTTTTGGTTGCTAAGAAGGCAGTAGAATTACTTGCATTGCTGTTAACTTCAGAGTCCTGAAAGAATAAATGTCCTGAAAGTGAAGTTTTCAGCTGTCCTTTCTGACTTCATGCTTACAATACATGCAAATCTTCATGCCTTGCAACATGTACACACAAATACTTTTCTGCAAGTATTGTCAAGCAGCACTTACATAACTGTCAAGTAGCTGCCAACATACAGATTCACGTGAAATTCATAAGGACACAATATTGTAATTTGATTTTAAGTGGTTAGAAACATTTGGCCTGAGGTGGTGGGTATTTTGTTTTTAAAGTAGCTAAGCAGTAAAGAGGATGTCTATTTAGACTTTACACAACCAAGAGGATTTAACTATTCTAAAAAATACAAATATTTGTAAGTAAACATTACATACTAAACTTGACTTTACTAACTAAATAATGTGTTTAATACTCTGATTTCAAACAATTTTACATCTGACTTCATGTGTACTTCAATAAAAGAAATGCTATCTATAAAACTAAGTAGTTTTACAAGTCATGAAACGTCAAGCTAAACTTACAGTGACACTCATACTGTCCACTTTGTCCAGAAGGGCAATGATTAAACTGTAGAGGTTTCCCAGATACAGAACAAGAACCCTGAAAACAAAAAAAAGATATCAGTGATCAGCATTATTATCCCATGGGCTTCTTGTACGTTCTCTCTTTTGGCTGAAAGCAGCCATGCAACCAGAACACACCTCTCCTTTTCCTCCCTTGCTCCCCATATTGTCTTGACACTGTCTATCATCTAGCCATACCTGGCAAGCTGAAAACGAAGAGTGGTCCTTGGATGATACATCTCTAAAGCTGCCACAAGTTCAAAAGCAGAGGGTGCAATCATTGTGATCAGCGACACAACTACGCTTACCTACAGAACAGAAAGAAGCAGCATTTTTGTAGCTGTCCACATAGATCTCTGGTACCTTGAATGCTGATTGAAACGCTATTGATGTGCACGCTTTCGTGATTGCTCTTCTTGGAGAACACACTTTAGAAAGTTATAACTGACATTAGTAATAACAATAAATAACATCCAAAATTATAGATCTGCAACACTCTTCAGGAGTCTTTACTCCAGAGAGTTACATGCCTGTACATGAGATGACAGCATCTTTAGCAGAATGGTCTTCCTCATTCTCCTGGCAACTCTCTTGTGACTACACCTCAGTGAATCTTATTGCTATAGAGAGTCTAGTCCTTTGTCTAACAGTGGTGTCACACCTGAAACCTCATACCTCATTTTTTTCCCAAAGAGTCAATTCCTTTTTGGTGCGCTCTAACCTTTGGGATCGATCCACAACGAAGTAAATGATGTAAATACTTCCAGCAAGGGACAGCAGCACAAGGATGTTTGCAATAATCCTTAAGCTTATAGTCACAGCCCTGGAAAAGAATCACACAGCCAATGCAGTTGGTTGTCTTTTGAACCCTGGCACCAGGGTTCTTCTCTATCGTGATTTTTAGATGTATGAAACAAGCACAATAGCACTGCTATCTGCATTGAAGCAGTGTTTTAGAAAGTATCTCTGATCTTATATACATACAGGTTTTTGCTTTTCTTCTTCTCCTGCTCTTCCAATATAGCTTCCTTGAAAGAAACACAGCATGATCATTTTAATAGCATTCAACACAAATAGGGAAAAACATAGCTGTTTTTAAAATTTAAGTGGAAAGCATCTGTATTTAATCCAACTCCTTCATATTGATAGAGCTGTAAAATGTACCTGGACTGTTTGTATAGAGAGACAGAATAAGATAATGCTTTTACACCCTTAAAATATTTTTGATTCCATTATTCAATGACTGCATCACAGGCAAATTTACTTCAATCACCCTAACTTCTTTTCCCATTTAGTATGGCATGGAATGAGACATTTCATGAAATACAATGTCCTTCTCGGCACAGAACAAAACAGACTAAAAGGGAATGACGGTGTCAACAAAAAGTCACATCAGAAGATGTCCTATCTCAAACTTAACTTTTATCATTAGTATAAACAGAAATTCAGAGTCAAACATACGACACGACTGTGACGCCACAGAGATGCAATACAAGCTCTATCCTAGGCAAACAGACCCAGAAATCAGTACTGGGAAGCAATAGGGAATGTAGGGGAATGAAAGGAAAAGCGCATTTAATTCTCAATCAACAAACAAATCAAAATAATTTGTCAGTCAGTTGCTCACCCTAATGCTATTAACTATTGCAGCAGCTTTGCTTTCTGCAGCCTCAGGGTTTCCTATTAAGTAGTCCCAGGCACAGAACAGTCTCCAGCAGAAAGTATAATTTTCATCAGAGGCACTCGCTAAGCTCATTCTTGAGTTTTTTGCCATTCTGTAAAAGAGACCAAATATTCATTGTTGTCAATGTGTGAAGATGCATGCAAAGGAAGCCAGTGGTTTGTTCATAGTTTTCAAATGTTTACTTCTTTACAAACGACCAAAAAATCTGTGACAAAGTGTCCTTATCAGTCTTCTGAAGAAACCAAAACCAGGGTGAGGTTCAGAGAATAAACCAGCTTCAACTTCACTCATGCTCTAGTTCAAAAGTGATGGACTTTGGAAAGGCAGTTTGATAACATTTACATTCTTTACAGCTGGCAAATAAAGCAAATTAAGTCCAGGGCTCTAGTAAGGTTTAATATAATTTTAAGAACTTCAGGCAGAATCCAGCTAGAGAATACTACAACATAAGATCACTCTTATTGTGATAATGAGTTAGTCTGGCAAAGCTCGTGATCATGAACAGGATCTGCCTGTTTTTTTTTTTTTTTTGTATTGCTTTCATCTCAAAATATATGTTATTGTAAGCAGAATGACAGTGCCATTTTACAGAGCTTGGGCAGAGGGGAAGGCTTAGTCAGCTCAGGTAGGCAAGAATGCAGAACACTGCAAAGCACAAGAAATTAAGATTAATAGCTTGTGAAAGAAAGGGCATCCAGAAGGACAAAATTAAAAGACGAACAGCAAGCAGGGATCTGTGTCAGATAAATAGTTATTGAGAGATGAAGCGAAAGAGAAAGGAGAAAGCATAGAGTGACCCTGCAGGGATTGCACATTCCCAGATTTATGGCCAGCAGTGGCAGCTTGCTCACTCTTCTGGATAGCTCCTGCTCCCAGCCCTTACACAGCAAAGTCCCTGAGCTCGCATTTGAACGGGATGCCACCTACCAGCTTGTATGATGGCAGCACTATTAGATGTATGACAGTATTCCTATATTCGTATTCCAATAAATGGGAATAATAATGCTGAAAACATTACATTTAAAAATCTAAATTCCTCTCATAATAATATTTATATCAGGAAATAAAAAATAGAAAACACTTCAGTGAGAGTCCGTCCTTATTCTGCAAAAACACAGATGGCAGAGACCTGCCAAAGCCCCACGGCACTGGCAGCACTGCCCTCCTTCCATGGGAATTGAAGAGAGAGAGAGAGAGAGAGAATATAAATGACAAAAAGATAAAGAGCAAGCTAGATTTAAACTCAATCTGCCTCCCAGAAATTAGCAGACTTGAAGAGGTTAGTTGAACTACAGGGAATAAATACAGAGGAAATGGAATAAATATATCATTAACAATTGTCTGTACATAAAAGCTTGTGAAGAGCAATACATGGAAATCTTACTTTTTTAAGAGAATGATAAAGCTGTAAGCAAACACTGCCATTCCAACAAGGAAGTAAGCAAGAGGCAGCCTGTACCCAGCCTTCCCAATCTTCCTGTCACAACCGTAGTAGCCATAAAACAAAACCGAGTACTGGAGGTAGCCCTGCAAAGACCAGAGCCCGTGAATATGAGCAGCAAACCCTGGCTGCAACACAACACGGACAGCAAAACAATAAGGAGAGGTTTTAGCCTTGCCCCCAGTGACCAGATGGTGTCCAGATCCTGAGCAGATGCAATACGCTCCTTGGGAATGGTCTTGCTGACTGTGGTGCCAAACGGTTCTCCGGCCAGTAGCTGGAAAGAAGGGACAAGATCTTAGAAACTGCGTGGAGAGTGTCTGAGGACAGCGGCTGCACAGCACGACGCGCACAGCGCTGCCTGCACGGGGGACACTACGAGGTTAGCAGGTATTTTGGTCATTCCTTGTTCTAAGCTACCAACTTCATGAGAAATACTGCATTCAATTTTGAGTAAAGCAGCTGACTTCTGCTGTTTGAGGTCTACCTTTTAGGGAGTTGAATGCTCTGTAGACATCTTGGAGATGGCTGAAGAAATGACATTAGAAGTTAACTTAATTAACAAAATTTGTTTAAAAAAATATCTGTTCGTTATACTTTAAGCACATTTAAATTAAATATGATGTTTGATTTCAAAATGATATTTCAAGTCTAAATCTACTTTTACTTACAACAGCAAGAAGACAAAACGATAAAAATACCTTTTTTTCATTTCAATTTACTTTTCATTTTTGTTACTTTTTTAAATCTAGATAATGAGAAGAAAAAAAGCAGACATTTATGTGCTTCTGACAACATCATTAGAACGCTGGTTAGGCAAGACAGAATTTATAAACCATTTGTTATGTTAACAGACATTATTATCTGCTCTATTCTTTACCAGGGCAAGAGAAGGCAGGTATGTGGAGGGGGGTTTACCTCCTTGAGCTTCTGAAAGTTAACCCGCTAATCTAATCTTATCACTTAGGTGAATGGAGAAAGCTGGGTTCATGCAAAGGCCAGTCAGCAACAGCAACGCTCTCAGACATCAACGTTCAAATGGAATCACTTTTTTTTTTTTTTTTTTTTTGGAGGTGTTTATCTGTTGTCGTGGGCTACAGAAGGAAGTGTTGATAGTAAGCTTAGGATGTTTTCCATAAATTTCAGAGGTCTACTGTAATAGATACACTATAAATTTGTACTTCACAATTTCTTCTTAACAAATGGCCTTATCTAGATGCAGTTAAACAGAGCTGGGGCTTTTCAGAAATTCAAGAAATTCAGTGAACAAAAAAATGATTCTTGAGAAAAATGTTATTTTTCTCTGCGGGTAAGTGACCTCAGCAGGATTCGAGCATACCCAGTGCAGCTTTTGGGATTCAGTTCTCCATTTTAGTAATCGGATAGAAGAAAAAATATCCTGTAAAGCATTAATACTTCATTGATAAATTATCTAATACTAAGAGCAAGATTCTCTTATCCTTTGGCAGAAATAACTCTTGACAGTGGGATTTACTTTAAATAATTCATTTTAAAGTGTACCTTTAAAACTGATGTCTTTAAGCATAGCACTTGCTTAATTCAGAAAAGAAAGTGGAAGTGTAACATCACTTTGTAAATATTAACGAGGGGTTCTTACCTCTGGTAAGACTACAAATGCTCCTGTCATTATGGTAAGTACAATATTGATTCCAAACAGCCATCTCAAGAAGATGAAGTAAGAGGCCACTCCAGACCCAAAATGACCTTAAACCACAGAAAACACATACCTGAGCCACCCAGCACATAAAAGCTGGTATCATTTATTCATTAAGCATTATTTGAAGAGTCAAAAGAAATGTCCGCCCCATTCATGCAGGACAAACAGCTAGATAGAAAAGATATTACTGCGTCAAAGAGCAAATATATTGGCAACAAACTTTGATAGGAAAGTCTGATAATCATCATCAGTATTTACACAGGGAGTAGTTACAATGGGTGATGTCAAGCATCCCTCTTCATGTGCTGCTGAAGCACAGAGGTATGACATGACTACCATCATGACATGCAGGGCTGCCCTAAATACTCCAAAGCCTCTGGGGCTGACCAGGCAGGATTACGCCACACAGGACCTATTTGGCCCAAGGACACAGTCCTGTGGACTGTGAAAAGCTATATCCAAATCTTCCCATATAGTCAAGGGAGCACAGTGGGACAAATTGGATTTTTTTTTTGAAGTTACCCCCATGGTCACTGAGAACCATGCCATGTCTAAGGAACCAAGTAGAAAAAAACCAAGTATTTAAATGAAAATCATGACACTGATGAAATTTTACACAACTCCAAAATGCTACATAAGTCAGTAAATTCAAACATAAACCACAAGATCCATAATTCCTGCACAAGGTTTTACTCTGCAGTACATTCAGACTTTCTACTTACTCTCTATTTTCTTTATTCTCATTTCCCAAGGAATGAATATCACCACAAAATTATATGCGAGTCGAAGAAACTTCCTCCAAAGCTTAGAAGAGAGAGAAATGAGAGCTGTGTTGCTTTTGCATGAGGATCAGAAAACATATTATAACCACTAATTACCAAGGTCTCACAGCATGTCTGTGATGTTAAATAGGTAAAATGGACCACTGCAGAGCTTGGAAACATGCAAAACATGGGATTTCCTATAAAACAGGAGTTCCTAATTGCGCTTACTAGCAAAATGTCCCCAAAATGAGACACAGAGAGGCCTTTACATGCCAAGGGTAAAGACAAGAGTGCTCAAGCTACCTATTTTACATACAAAGGACCATGAGGAACCCACAGAAGGAAGCAGACAGATGCTGCTCTCTATCCTATCACACACCAAACCCCATCTGCAGAGCAACCCAAGCAACAAACCAGGCAAAAATTCACAGAACAGCTCAAATCAACATAGACCCTTTGCAAAGGAAATGACAGAGTCATTCACAGAATCATGGAATGGTTGAGGTTGGAAGGAATCTCTAGAGATTACTGAGCCCAACACCCCTGTTCAAGCAAGGACACCATTCAGATGACCTCTGAGTAAGAGGCATTTTTAAGCAAAAGCAGCAAAGACAGAATTTGAGAGAAGGTGGATTTATTAGTGCTGGTCCTTGAGAAGAATTGGGTAGAATATTTATTGTATTTAATTTAAGTCAAAACTAATCACAACCTCTATATAATTTGTGAAGAAATCCCAATGCTGTAAATATATAAAATTGGATTTCTATGACTAACACAAGAACGCACAGAGCTACCTTTATATTTAAGAGAAGCACAAACCCAAGAGAAAGAAAGAGTTATCACATTCAAAAGCAACAATTTCAGTTACTGTAATTCCCAAGTCTCTCTATTACAGTGTCTCTTTATTACAGTTTATACCTGCAGAAAACTTGTGGTTATATTTTGCAAAGTTTTCATTCAACTTCTACTTTTTTGCATCTTCCTACATACAGTGGAGAATGCATATGCATTTGGGGGGAAAACACAAAGCTCCATGTGAGGCCACTTTTTCTTTTGTTAATTTAAAATAGCAACAGGAAAATAATATTTGTAGAGTATTCATTTTACAGAATCTTTCATCGTTCAGACAGATATTTTTAAAAAAGCCAAACAAATTGTATTTTAGTCAGCAGCATTATCAATATTATATCATGAAGTCTAATTTCTTGAAACCAAACAGAAGTCACTCTCTAATTAACATCTACCTCATCAATCTCTTTAGTCAAAGTTAATACATTTTTATGTATTAAAACCTCTGTTTTTCATTTGAAAACAGGGTTCACAAGGCTGAGAAAATAATCAAGCTGCAGGTTGTGCAGCAAATATATAGATTATACAGAACTTTTCATGTCAGTAGAAGCAACACTGATTAATTACATGGATAACACACCTCTTTACTTGCCTGCTGTGTATCTGAACAAAATGAAAAACTTGCAGTAGCTAATAAAGAAGCTTTTAATTGCTTTTTTAGCTCTTTGCAGACTTCTCGACTTGGAGATTGGGATTTTATAGAAAAAAAAGCACACTTCTGTATATGAAATCTACAGATTAATGTTGATATAGGAAAGAGCTGTAATTTAAGAAAATAACAGATATACCTCGGCACCAGCTGCTTGGTACCCTCTTGTTCTAGTGAGTCTTCCTTCATACTTTAGCACAATCTCTTTAGCTTGTCTGCATAAGAAGGAGAAACTTCATTTTACATTGTTTATATTACTCTGAACTCCTAATTCTACAAAAGTAACAACTAGCAAAGCCACCAAATGCTGTGAAACACTGACACAGATTCTCTAACCATCATCTGAATCAGACAAAAGTATTTTAAAAGATCTTTATTATCGTTTTTAAAAGGAGAGAAAACTGAACATTCAATACTTGTACTTCAGGGAGAGTTTTCTTTTTTTTTTTTCTATAGATGTCCTTTCAATTAATGTCTCTATCTTTCTATCGTCCTTTTCTTTTCTTTTTTTTTTTTTTTTTAAGGCACAATTTACCTAAATGAGTAAAATTAAAAAGGTCCTCATTACAGGGTTAAGATGCTAGATGAAGAGGAGGAAAATAAAGCAAGTCCCCAAAAGCCAAGCAGTGCAGTGTGACATACGGACTCCAGGTCACACCAGGGAAAGGCCTGGCACAGTTCAGACAGGCAGCCCCGACAGAGACAGACACCCACACTGTGCATTGGAAATCTGGTATTGTCAACATAACAACTGCAATTTTAAACTGCGGTGTGACAATACTACCTTTTAAACCTACAAGTGTGGACTATTTACATTCGCAATACCTGAAAGTTACGGACCACTTTCTATTCTCTTGTTTCATGGAGACATATGTTGTCACATACAGTCACCTTTGCCAATGGGACAGAGGGAAACAATTTAGCTCAAAAACGTATCACTGTGCATTACCAACAGAAGACACAGCCTTTTCTGGGGCCTCAAAGCAGCAGCCACTCTGCTTATTACCTAAACAGCAAAAGTGTGATTTCATGCTGGGACATGTTCAGGATGGCTTCATCCCATCCTGGGGCTCCTGCCTCCAGCCAGCTCCCTGGACTCGTAGGAGGGTGCTCACAATATGATTTCCTAGCAGCTATTAGTCATCTTTGGACTCATCCAGTTCCAGCTTAGACTGAAATACTTCAGAGGCTGGAAACACTGCCCTGATCCTTGGCTCTGAAAGCTTTCATACGAACTCCGTTACCTGAGCGCCCTCAGTTTCTGCCTCATCGGCCACGGCCTGCAGCGGATGTTGGACATAATCTCCTTCTGGTACTGTATGTTTTGAAAGATCTGCTCCGGGTCGTGGCTGTCAGCCTTCTCCTCGCCATAATCGTTGTCCGAGTTACTGCAGCATGTGCCGCATGGGAGGAAAAACACAAGACAAATCATTCTGATTCAGATCCCCAAAAAACTGTAGACTTGCATATGATCTGGTTGGTCTATTAGAACAAGGTAACAGTGATGAGCCAGGGAACTTGGAGGGTCTTCTTGTTTTACAGTCTATGAATAATCGGGATGATTTCTCTTTGCAATGTAACTCCCCCCCGCCCTTGCTGCACAGTCATAAATTATCCATGTTTCCCACTAGGAATCCAAGTCTTTCCACTGCCAGCATTTCAAATTGTATAGCTTGTACATCAGGCTGTCAGGACACTTTATATATAATTTTTCTGGATCAAAGTGTTGTCTAAACGTTTCCAGCAAAAGCACTTAACATGCATTTATTTGCCACAGGCTTTTGATCTGTTACTTTGATAATTACAACGATTAAATATTTCTTTGATAAAATGGGAGAATGCTTAGAAATGGGAGTATGCTTAGAAAATCCTGGCCTTTTGTCACCTTTCCCTGTGGTGAAGGGGCTGAAGTGTGGGACCCCTAGGTCACCAGGAATTACACAAAAGATGCATGTAAAAACCCTGCAAAAAGATATCTATTTGGTTGAGCAGATTTCTGCGGGCGATTATTAAATCGTTGTCACCACGTCTGCAGTGACAGCTCTCATTTCACATTTGAAACAAGGTATTGTGTGCAAAGTGGCAGTAATATTCACTCTCGCTGGGCACTCTGTCTAAAAATCCATGTCAATTATGTTTACTCTCTGAATAAAGCAAACAGAGCTGCAAAACCAACGTCAGCTAGGAGATTTTCTAATTGCATGGCTATATGTTTGTTGGGAAAGTTCCCTGCAATTGTGCTGAAAAAGCAGCACCCTTTGAATGGCTTAGAAATAAGCCATAGTGTAAGCTGCACTTTGTAAGAGCATTTGAAGAATATACACGGTCAGACCACAAACCCATCTGTCCCCTATGCCACCTCTGACGCCTGGGCGTACTGGACAATCCCTGGAAATACATAAGCAGCAAAACAATAGAGATTTTGTTTTTATCCTGGTCTACCCTGAACTTACCTGAGTTACGCTGCTGACATTTGTAGTGCAGTATCGAATGTAACTCTTGTGAAAATAAAATAGAGGTTTGAAATAAAACTAAATATAGAAAAAGACTCAATTTTGTCACACTCCTGTTCACCCTGCGCTGCTGTTTAAATGAAAGACAAAAGCAAAGATCCCACCTTTTGCCCAGAGCAGGAGGGAGGCTGGAGCTGCGGTCGCCCCTTACCTGTGGGGCGGCTCCTGGTAGGTGTAGATGCTCGCGTGCCGCTTCACCGTGCGGTACTTCTTGCAGGACTTTGCGCTCTTCCCCGCGGCAGCGGACGCCGTTACTGCTGCCATGGTGGCGGTGACCGCCTGCCCCAGCGGAACTGCCAAACTGCAAGGAAGCCGCTAGGTCACCGCACAGATGTCTCATGCGCGATCGGACACTATTAACTGGCGAGTGGGCACGGCCGCGCGCCCGGAGCGGAGCGCCGCTCACCGCTCGCCTCAGCCCCGCAGCCGGCAGTGCCTTAAAGCGGCAGCTCGCGGCAGGCCTGCGAGGGCACAGGCTGCTCTGCAGCCCGCTGCCCAAACGAGGCACTTCCCACCTCGGCGTGGCCGCTGCGGTCTTAAATTAAAAGCCTCGCTGACAAGATGCGATTGCATTTCTCTGTATGCCTCTGAGAGCCTTTCCCGGGGGATAACCCTGATGGCATCCAAGGGCTGTTCCTCTCCCAGGCCGAGGCCCCAATTTCCTGGCATGATACACATGCATTATATCTGGATTTACATCTTTTGGAGTAGCGAGCTACCTGATATTCAGACGCTTACAAGTTACCAAGCAATTCACTTTTCTGCATAGCTGTTTACAGAGTTTTCACTCGTTCCTAACTTGGTATTTTCTCTCTTTAATAGCTTTGGCACAACACAGCACTGGTTTTACCTGCATAAATCAGTGGTCTGGGTAGTTATCTTTTATTTGCAGCCTCTGACAAGAAAGAACAGTAAGTTCTCTCCACTAAATTTCCTGCCGAGAATAGCGCAGGCTGCTTTTTCCTTCTGCCCCAAACTAATCTAAAAGGGTGTTGCTTGCTGAGAAATTTTTACTCTTCCGTGACTGCAGCCATGTCCATTGGACAGTACTTAGTTAAATAACTAATGAGCTAAGTCGTCATAAGCCTCATTATTTACTACCTGTGCATTGAGGTTTTACAGTTTGGATGTAAGGCCATTCGGTTTAATTGACTCCATGCTTTTTAGATGATGAGGAAAGATTGGGTTAGATAAACAAGTTTCTGCATTTCCAAACTGCAGCCAATAGAAAAGCCCAGCTCCCAAGTGCCCCATTGTATTTCCAGCTTCTCCAGAAATCTGTTTCTCCAGAAAAAGAATTCTCCAGAAATCAGAATTGAGTTCCATTGACTCAAAGCAGAAGAGCTACAAAAGGGTAAAGAAATATCCCAAATTCATTAAAAAACAAGAGGCAGTGCAGCCTCATTCTGCACCACCCCTTTCATTCTTCCTTTTGCCACATAAGCATCACTTCTAAACCTAGTGAAAACCATTTGTGGAAACACAATTTGTCCATGTTCTACTTACCACGTAGGGTTTTCCATGAACTGGATTCACTGGTCTCAGCTCCATCCTGAGTATCTACTGACGTATCTTCTTTAACCATACTAGAGACCAGGGGAGACGGACTCCACATTTTCAGCTTCCCAAGAAGGATGGACCAAATAATTTTACTTTCCCATGTCGTGCTTTGTTATTTGTCATACTGAAGTCTGTAAAACAGAGACTGTTAGAGTGTGCGTTAGAACAAACGGCAAATGAGATCAAACAGCCAAGAACAACAGATATCAGTCCAGAAACACATCTCCATTAAAAGGCTTATCACCTCGTTCCAGCTGGAAAATCAAACAGAGGAACTACTCTGAATGCCAGAATAGCCCCTTGAAGCTTTGTTGCTCAGAGTACTGCAAGCACCCACATCACCACTTTTTTGCCCTCTTGCATGATATGCTTTCAATTTTGTAATTTAAAAGCACTCAAAGGTAAGTTCAAATAAATTTCCTCAGCTGTAATTAGTTATTTGTCTTTTCACCTTGGCCAATGGGGCCAGACTCTGCTGCCTCTGCTCTTGAGCATTGCTGCCTCACTTTTCTGGCCAACCTCCTAAAGACCAAGAGTTAGCTGCTTAACCCAGTTACGTTTACTCAAACACAGAAAATATTTCTTGTAGACATATTATTTCAAGCAATGAGAAGTGGCAACATAGCATCTGCATGGCTCCACGTGTCCTTGTGCCATACAGAGGTAGCATCCTGGGCCACAAGGGCAGGGTAGCTTTGTACCCCTGCACGAAGCCTGTCTCCTCAGGGCTAACTGTGCTAACATGCTTTCTGTTTTTTATGATCAATCCCAGGTTGGCAGAACATTCACTATTCAAGGTATAGACATGCCCTTTGAAACTCTCAGTGCATGTCTGTAAAAATTAAGATTTCAAGATAGTGATGATGTCTGCAAGAAAAGGGAACTGCGTGAGTCCCACTTTTCCCTGGACTCCCGAATCCCTTAATTTTCATTTGAGGAAGCCATGCTGGAGAAATTAAGCTTTAATATTATTGGTGGTTGCTACGAATTGCTACATTTCACAGATAATGCAGTGTACTTTTGTATGTTTGTAACAATATGGTACAACACTACAAAAACATCAGAATGTTAAGTTTAATGATTTCCATAGATATATTTTCTAAGTTGTCAACAGGGAAGATACTAATTTCCTTTCCCTTTTATTAGAAAAAAAGGCCTAAAGCCTGAACTTAAAACAAGGAAATAATTTAAACTTGACATTTAAATATTTCTAATACTGTAGCCTTGGAATCACACATGTGAGTTACTACCAAACACTAAGAGCACAATGAGCACCGAGAGCCATAACTCCGAGGCCCTCTGACAGGAGGATGCAGAGTGCTTTGTAAGAGAAAATAGAAAGCTCCTTCAAGAGCTTATCCCCAAGCTGGCAGGGTTCTCCTGCCCACAACCCCTGTGAGGACCTTTTCAAAGAACCCTGGCAGTTGCTCAGGGCACAAAGTGCTTTGGGGTTTGCTTTTCAATTCAGCAAGCCCTCAGCTGCCCGCTTCAATACGGTGCATTGAATCCAGAATGCACTGGAGTTCGTTTTGCCCTCAACAAAGACTACCGTGGTCATAGATTTAATTCAATCGCCATTAACTGGATGCCAAACAGGACTTAAAACTTCTACTGCAAAACATATAGTGGGCAGTTGTCTGTGCATAATGGGATACCTTATATTTAATCCATAGGACTACTTCATGTTTTCAAGTACTTATTTGGGAAAAATCCAGGTCAGTGAGCTCTAGTTAGCTGAAAATTCAGGCCAATGGTTGCTTATCTTCTCCCTTTATGCCCATACCAATGAAGCTTTAAACTACCCAAACCTTTCAAGCAATTCAGTTAGTTAACTTAGTTAAATAGACTATACAGTAATAGTTAACAGACCTTTTCAAGTCTCTCTGCTTGGCAAGGTCACAACCCCAGGGATCTTGATTCCAAGACAGAGATTCAGAGAGGACATTGTCTCTGGCGATCTCTGTAAATCCCTTCAGATTCTTAACTACATAAAACAGATTGGGGGAGGTGAGGAGAAGTAATTAAAAGCCTTAAAGGCAACCGACGTGCAGCTTTAAATGGACTAATTATCAATATTGCCAAAACCATTTAATCCCGTGTAAAGTAGTGAACTCAAGATATGCTTCAGCACGCAGGTACTGGTGAAAACGTTGAAGCTCCTCTGATTTGGCTGAAGGCAGAAGGCACTTGCAGAGACAAGCCCACGTGGGTGTCCAAGAACAGCCCTTACAACCTGCACCACTGCTTGCAGCAATGCCCTGATGTTGTGACAGAACTTGCAGCTCGCTCCTTTCGGGTAGGAAGAAAGTAAGTAGGTGGCATAAGAAAACTTATTTGCCAAGCGTGGCAGACTGCAGCTACTTCTGCTACAAGGGAATCTGGGTTTTGTGCAGCTTTGTCTACCCACCAGTCTGACGTGCATTCTACAGACATATTCATTTCACCAGAGACCTTTTTGAAAGCACTGTAACCAAATTATTTTCCAGGCTTACGTGAGTCATTACCAGCCAGACCTAAGAGTCAGTGAAAACGCAGAAGATAATTTTAGAACACAAAGAAAAAAAGAGGGGGGAGGGGGAGAAAGTCCCATATTTTAGAAGGAAAGAGAAGAAGTTCAAGGATTCTGACAAAAGCAATAGATTTTCTAGATCTTTGACTACGATGAAAACCTTGAATTTGTGTGACTGCTTTTAAGAAGCTTTTGGAACACATTCTTCCATGACATTCTCTCATTTTGGGCCATGACGAGGAAGTGAAAAACTGTCAAAATCTGAAACACAGTAACTTTATGTCTCATTCAACTCTAGATGATTTCATTATCCTCCAAACATTAGAATTTATTTTTCACCATTTCTAATATTTACCAAAAACACACCTTAACTCAGAGTTTTACTTCAGTTTGAAATACTCATAGGATTAAGTCCTTCTGCCAACTTCTGCATTTTTTTTCAGCATTACAGCCAGAAACATTTCAGCTGCAGTCAAGCCTTTAAAATTCCTCTTCATCCCTTAGAGATTGATTTTGCACTAGTCAAGTTTTCACCCAGATCTTCTACCAGCTTGTGAATCCAGAGCTGTTCAGTACTTATGTCTATGGCCCATGCTTAAGGTCCCCAAATGTTTTATCCTGCATGTCTGATGTCATGGAACAACATGACTAGGATCCACCCACAAGACTGCCATGACCACCTTCATTTAAAGGAATATGAACATAATGATGATGATAATTTTGCCCAGTTGCTCAGGATGTTCAAGGCCTTATTTCCATTAGTGTGTTTCAGTCTGAAGGAATTCCAAACTCTTCTTTCTCCTACCCAGGGAAATGGTCAGGCTATAGCTAGGTAGAGGCAAACAGCGAGAAGAAGGAGCAATGAGGACATCTCACTTTTACTGTTGGGTCAGTGCCACTTTGCAAAAATGATGATTTATCAGCTAAAGATTCATTTAAGAGGAGGGAAGCAAAGTTTTTAGTACTTGTACATGCTGTGAACAGAGAAGTCAGTGCAATTTATTGCTGATAGAATTATCTTGCTTGAGCTTGCGGCGATCTGAACATTTAATTCCTTGATTCCATGTTTCTGTAAAGCCCAAATCTACCATGACAAATAAAAGAGGAGAACAATAGTACTGCATATTAAAATTGCACTGAAAAGTGCAGTGAAACATATAGCTTGAAATGTACCTAGTGACATAACTCCAGCACC